TATATATATGGATTCGTTCCTTATCCATGATTCTTGGGGAAACAAGATATAACTATTCTGTGAAATGCTTCATATTTTTTCTAGTTTAGCTGAGAATTCTCACTGTCAAAGTTTTACTCTCCTGGGATTCATCTATCTATGGGACTTCTTGTCCTACTAAAACAACATGTAAGTCTTGTGAGTTTCTGCTTAATGGACTCTCCTCCCCCCCTTTAAATTCAGTGAGTCATTTCTTAGAAATCCTAGCTTTATTTCTGCTTGGAAAGCTTGATTCCTAGAAGCAAGCTTACATCATATTGTTTAAGTTTGGGTTTTCCCTTCTGCACTTGCTGACCGGTTCCCATGGGCAGTGTGAGTGGAAGGGATAGTTTGTACCCAACAGCTTTGCTCCAGAGCCTCCTTATCTTAGAATCGGGTTGCCATTTGTTCAGCTACTGTTGTTTCAGACAAAAGATTTGTGCTTAAAAGTTAGAAAACTTATTTTGGCGGCTGCCTTGGAAAAGAAGGACTCTGGAGCCGGGAACTGCCACTTTCACCTTTTTCCTAAGCACATCCACTCAGGTCTCCTCCTTGTATTTGGTTCAGGAAAAATGCATATTCTTTTGGAAACATTACTTTAAATGAGTATTTTGATTTTCTGTTACTCAAAGAGTGCCGTGAAGTTCAGAAGCTAATGAACAATAGCAGCTACAACGCCCAGACTTACTGTTTGACCAACTCGTTTGAATTTATGTCTTTCAAGTAATGTCAGATGCTAAGGCTGCCTGTATTAATTGGGTTTCCCATCCAATCCCATCTAGTTCATAGCTTGCTTTTCTTATGTGATAAACATGTTAAATTACTTAGTGGATATACTTAGAGGAACTTGAATTTCAGAGATCAAAGGTAAATGGGTCAAATTTAACTTTAAAATATGCACAGAAAAATTGCTCACTTTTGCCCAAGACACGTCTATAATATTTTATGTTATATTGCTGTACTTGAGCTCTTTATTAATACCAGCTTTTCCCGAGATTTTTGCCCTGTGTAACATCTCAGACTTGGTTTATTTCTTTCCATATAACTACAGTTTTTTTGAGGAGGTAAAATAAAAGTAAGAACATTTTAATGTATCAAGTAGTAAGTTATCAGCGTTGGGGACATATTTATTTGCTTTGTATATGGTGTCAGAAAAGAGTCATTGTTGAAGGTTGCCCTGGGATTGGTAGAATACAGTATTGTTCCTAACTGGAGATAATGTCTTCCCCTTCCTTCCCCCTCCACGCCAACCTCACCTCCAGACATTACATATTGTCTGGGAACAATGTTGGTTGTCACTGTTGTGGGCAATGGTAAGGTGCTCGCATCTAGTGGCTAAAGGCCAGGGATGCTGCTGGAAATGTCAATTCATTGGACAGCCCCCACAACAAAGAATTATCCTGCCCCGATGTCACAGTTGTGAGTCTCTGGAATAGAGGAAGCAGTATGTTGAGTGGAAGTGAACCTGCCTTTACGTGTGTGGCATTGTTTTAGGTACAATTGAATAATGAGGACTCATAGCCTGAGAGTTGTTCCACCCTCCTGTGGCGTTTAGAGAGGAACTGTACCTTGCCTTATGGGGACGAGCATTGCTGCGCCTGGTTCCTCTTGATTCCTCCTGAGATAAAGTCATGATATTGAGTTTTCAACAGCTGCCTCTGTGCCTCAGCTCTGCAGGTGGAATTTGAAGCATATGCCCTACAAGAGTCTGGATCTGCTCCCTGAGGGTAAATTGCAACAAACCCAATTTTGTAGGTTTTGCTGCTACCCAGGAATTTTTTTGAGGTCATCCACAACTTTGTACACATCCAGAAATTAAACCTCTCCACATTTTCCTGGCTGCAATCCTAGACTTGGTCTTGTAGTTCCTACACTTAAAAATATCCAGTCTAATAGAAAAATAAATGTCCTTGTAAAAATAAAACCAAAGCCCCTCCAATAGCCAACATTCTTTACAGCTCAATTAAAGCTAGAAAAGAAATTAGGAATTAGATTGCAAGCCATACCTAGGAGACTAGACCCAATTTGGATTCTCAGATGTCCCTACCTTCTATTATTCAGCTTTATTTCTTGCCTTGCAGCAGTTTTTCCTTAAGTGCCTTTTGTTCTGTAGGTGCTAGGTTACAAAGGTAAACCAGAAGAACACAGTCCCTACCCTTAAGGTATTTACAGTCTATTCCTGACACAGAAACTGAACAAGTAGTCATGAAAATAGCTGTGTAATATCAGTTGTGATCTCTGAAAGGTGGACATTTTGTCACAAGCTAGAAGACCTCTGTGGAGGCAGATGTTTATTAAGATACAAGATATTTACTAAAAGATATTTACTCAGATAGAAGAGATGAATTGGAGTTTGCCTTTAGAACAGAGATATGCAAAAGCCTTGAGGCAAGTGATGCTTGGTAAATTTAAGGAATAAAAATCAGTGGGGGTTTTGGTGGGCAGGATCATGTTCCCCTCCCAAAAGAAACACACCCACCCCATAATCCCCAAAACCATGGATGTTTTACTTTACATGACAAAAGAGACTTTGCAGATGTCATTCCTTATCCTGAAGTTGGAAGGCTCAGGATATTCCAGTGATTAAAACAGTGATGTCACAGCGTCCTGTTCTAGTTCTTGCTTGGCTACTTGACTTTGTGTTATCTGTCTAATCACAGTTACCTAGTGTGGCTTCTATCCCCTAAATCTTCTCCCTGTCCCATACTCCTGTTCTGCGATTGGTAACTTAAATAAATGTTCACGGGACACGACTAGGGATTGAATCATGTATTCCCACTAATACCTCAAGTTGGAGTTGATGCAAAGAGAAATCTCCAGATAAAACTTCTGAGAGGCCTATTAAAGTGCAGGTTCATTGCAGGCTTGTTGTCTGAGGTAATTAAAATCTTGTTTATTACAATAAGAGATCGCAGGAGTTGTTGATTCAGACTTATTGGTGCTTTATGAGTTGAAGTCCTCAATAAGCTTAAATGATGCAAATTGATTGTGCGTGCCCTTTCCAGTGAGACTCACAGCTGCTTCATTTCAGCTCTGTTTAGGGCGTC